GTGTGTGTGTGTGTGTGTGTGTGTGTGTGTGTGTGTGTGTGTCAGGAGTGGGATCCGGCTGCTACTGCCGGCTCGCTCAGGGGTGCACTTTGGGCGCGCATGCACAGAACTTAAAAAATGCTTCTACGCATGCACAGAAGCAAAATACAAGATGGTGCCATATTCAGCGGCACCGATAGAAACGGTTTTGGGGAGTGGAAGGCTGAGTTACTTACCTATTTGGCCGAACTAGTAGGAACCCAACTCTGGTGTGTGTGTCAGAGGTGGTATTCAGCAGGTTCTGACCAGTTCTGGAGAACCGGGAGTGGAAATCTTGAGAAGTTCATAGAACCGGTAAATACCACCTCTGACTGGCCCCGCCCCATCTATCCTCTGCCTCCTGAGTCCCAGGTGATCGAGAAGAAATGGAGATTTTGCAGTAATCCTTCCCCTGGAGTGGGATGGGAATGGGGATTTTACAGTATCCTTCCCCTGCCATGCCCACCAAGCCATGCCCACCATGCCACACTATTCCCACCAAGCCACACCCATAGAACCAGTAGTAAAAGTTTTTGAATCCCACCACTGTTGTATGTGTGTGTGTTTGTGTGTGCACACATGTTGGGAGAGTCAAATTGTTAGAATGGCTTGTAGTAAGGCTAGTATTGCTTTTGAACAAACCTCCCACCTTGCGACATTTGAATGCAATGCTGTTAAATACATAATGGATCATCTTTACTTCCTAAATTATTCATCTTAAACCCAACAAAGGAAGGGTGCATAAATGCACAAACTTGCACCAGTATTATTTCTCAGTCAAGGTAATATGGTCAAATCTTGGCTTATGGGATCCCTTTCCTCAAATCAGTGTGACTCTTGACATCTCTACTCTGTTTTACTCCTCCATAGACGGAGCATACAGTGCTCTCTGAGTGGTTTATACAGTCGGCATATTGCCCCCAACAATCTGGGTCCTCATTTTTACCAACCTTAGAGTGATGGAAGGCGGAGTCAACCTCAAGCCATCAGAATCGAACTCCAGATTGAAGACATGGAAGATAATAATCTTATTTGATAAAGCCAGATTAGTCTAACATTCTTCTTCTTTCTCCGGTTCAGGGGTGGGTTTCAACCGGTTTGCGGCGGTCCCCGCGAACCGGTTGGTCGGTGAACCCGGAAGTAAGTAACTTCCGGGAACAGCGAAGGGCCCACCCGCCCGCCCGCGCTCCTTACCCGATTTTGACGAGTTCTGCGCTTCCACGCATGCGCAGGATGCATACAGCGCCTGCGCGATCCTCCAGGAGCAGCTGGAGCATTGAACAGATGCTAGTATGCATGCGTGCACTGTGCGCGTGCACGAGGACGCCGCCGGCCCCATTCCAACCGAACCGGTTGGAACAGGGTGAGAAACCCAACCCTGCTCCGGTTATATAAACTATCATTAATTTTGGATATGAGCTTCCTTTTTGCACATTTCAAAGATGAAAAGCATTAAAACCCAACCTAGGTTTTGATGCAACATGTTGAAGGTGCATTTTATATGGTCCTCAGATATTCATCCCATTATGCCTTGGATTTTCTTTCAGCTTCAAATGAAAATGACCGACCGAGCCGTTTCTCTTGGCACCATGGTCCCTTTGCCCAGGAGTGCCTATTGGCAGCACATCACACGGCAGCACAGTACCGGACAGCTCTTTGGCTTACAAGGTAGGGTGCTGATATAACATTTGCAAGAATAGTCCCTTTGGGTGATGGCACGTGTGAAAGATCTTTGGAGCCTGAGCCAAGAGATGTAGCCAAGGGAACAGCCAATAAGAGACAAAATTGCCTGCAACTGGATAATGGGTGGGACAAGAAACTCAGAAGGGACCCACCCTAGTTTCTTGGTCTGCAAAGGAGGTGGGGAAGAGATGTAATGTATTTTTCAGAATATATGACACACTTTTTTCCCACGAAAAACCAGGGTGAAAATCTGGGTGCGTCTTATACTCTGAATACAGCATTTTTTGCCATCTGAAACCCCACCCCTTCACCAAAATGGCCATGCATAGCCTTTAGGAGGCTTCCATAGTGCTCGTGGGGGCTGGGGAGGGCAAAAATGATCAAAAAATGGGGCAATTTTTGCTCATTTCTGCCCCCCCCAACCCCCAGAAACACCAAAAGCCTCCTAAAGGCTATGCGTTTTGACAAAGAATGGGCCCATTTTTGCAAAAAACGGGCCATTTTTTGCTCATTTTTGCCCCCCCAGCCCCCAGGAGCACTCTACAAGCTGCTTAAAGGCTATGCATGCCCCTTTTTTTGTCAAAAAATGGGCCAGTTTTCACAAAAAATGGACCATTTTTGAGAGGCCTGCAGACTGCAAAAACTTTTTTAAAAATTTGCCTCTTCAAAATCTTGGAGTGTCTTATACACCGGTGCGTCTTATACTCCGAAAAATACGGTACTTTCAGACTTGCAAGATTCTGTTCAATATTGCTCTTCAGTAAAGTAGAATTAGCGATATCTGTTTGGGAAATGATTTACACTGTGAAGTTGGCACCCAATTTTCAAGTCTGAAAGTTCATCTCAACCAACCCACTCCCATCAAATTTATACCATAAGACAGGGGTTGGCAACCTTAAACACTCAAAGAGCCACAAAGGTCCTAACTGGAAGCCCCCCATTTAATTCTGGAGCCAACCAGAAGTCTGGTTCCCCACCATAGAGTCTCCTTCTAGTGAGGTGTCCTTTTTCCTCTATGTGTTCTAACCAAAAGCCCTATCAATTGTGGAGCTGACTGGCAACAGGGAGCCACAGCAGAGGGTTGAAAGAGCCACATGAAGCTCCAGAGCCGCAGGTTGCCAACCCCTGCCCTAAGAAAATAGGAAGGGTCCCTTCTGAACCTGTTGTCCCACCCACTATCCAGTTCTGGACCGTGGTATCTCTTATCTGACCATTCCCTTGACTATACCTCTTGATCTAAACTCATAAGGTCTTTTCCATGTAACATTGCACATTGAACCTCAGGATCATTTATATAGTAATGCATAAATTTACAGGTATTGCAATACATATTCATTTGGTATTGCATTAATCAGTGACATTTTTCAGTGCTTTCTTTTTCTTGATCATCTCCCCTCCCTGGGCAATGATTTTCTCTGGTTTCCCATTTCAAGAGAGACCTGATTGTCTATTATGCTTCTATTACAAATCTTGATGTCTTCCTAAATAAAATTGGAAATCAGCTTCAGACCATAGTTGCCAGATTGGGTTGGACAACAAAGCACAGTTTGCTGATTTGGATATGATGAAAAAGTATGATTTGGATGAATGAATGAGAAAGTTGCAGGTGAATTGGAGAATGTAAAAAGAAGAAGTGAGAATGAAGAGAGACCACATAACTTTCATGTTCCCATAGAAGAGATCATGGCCACCTATGAAGAGCAAGGTGGAAGACCTTTTCTTCATTGAAAATGTAGATGACAAAATTTGATCTTAGGTGACATTTTACAATGTGCTCTCTAGACTTCACATCACTATTTTCATCTAAGAAAAACATGATTTTTTGTGCATAAAGCCTACGAATTATATTTGAGTGTCCAAGTAATCTTGACTAGATTATGGATGTAATTGAATAAGTGACCTGACTTCAAATTTGCTGATCAAGACACCCCTTTTGGAAAGTCTATGACAATTAAGTCCACAGGCTTCATTTTACCTCAAAAATGATGCCTGATTGAACAGCTCTTTATGGAAAGCCATTGCATGTTACCTTTTCCTTGTCTTGCTGAAATTTAGATTGTGAAAGCCAAAACAAAAGATGGGAACTGGCTGTGATCTAGGGTAGGGTCATTTTCCGTCCTTTGGAGCCTTCGGGAAGCCTCCGGAAGGTCCCTGAAGGCTCCAGAGGACTAAAAACAGCCCTACAGAGAAACCAAAAGTGGCTAAAACTGGCCCTATGAGCAAACCAGAAGTCCATTCTCGAACTTCCGGTTTGCCTGTAGGCCATTTTTTTGTGCTCCGGAGGCTTCAGGAAAGCCTTCGGAGGGCCTCCGGGGGGGGGAGGGGGATGTTCTTGCCCTCTCCAGGCTACTATAAAGCCTCTAGAGCCTGGGGAGGGTGAAAAAAGCATGGAAAAAATGGGGGGAGCGCTGGTCATGCGTGCATGTGCGCTGAGAGTCGCATATTCCATTATGGATGTGGCATGCCCACACACAACCCCCACCGCACTCTCCCCCTTTTGGCACGCAAGCCAAAAAAGGTTTGCCATCACTGGTATATATGATTCTTCAAAACTAGGAAATAACAGGCATCAAACTCCAAACCTGCTCCAGCCTGTTAAACATTCTGAATATTTTATTTCTTATTCTCAACGGAAAAAAAATAAGTTATTGGTTTCCAATTAAGTAATTATTCTAAATGCACCTCTAACTGTAATAGCTTAGATTGTCTCGTGCATGATGAAAGGCAGATTCTCTCTCTCTCTCTCTCTCTCTCTCTCTCTCTCTCTCTCTCTCTCTCTCTCTCTCTCCTGAATAAACTTGTTTCTAATAAGGTAAAAATGTTGTAGCTTCAGTTCAAATCTTCTTGATGTGTCTTATAATCTCTGAGGACATCTAGTGGCCAAGTAAAGTGTTTATATAATGTCGGATATAAATTATTTCGGAGGGACTGGAAAGAAATGTAATGAGCCATTATGTAGTTAAGTGGCTTTATAGATTTGATAAACAGACAGATAAATAGAAGACTGTCTGAAAACTCTACTACTCAAGCTAATAGCTAGTGACTATTAATGGCAGGCTGTAAAGCAGGGCGTCAAACTCGTGGTACGTGAGAGGGATGCGTCCCGTGTTGGCTCTGCCCCCGCCCTGGTTTAGCGAAGGGGGAAAAAGTCCTGCTATGTCACATGATGCTGCCATGATGCCGCAAGTTTGACACCCCTTCTGTAAAGCTACTTTTAAAATCTGCTTTTTTATCCCTCCCCGCTCCCCAAAACTTAAGTGCTTGCTTCAATTTGTATTTCTCCCAAGCCTTAGGTTTTCATAGGCTTGTTATGGCTTTCTTCCTGCTAGATCATGTTTTGTGTTCTAGGCCCAGCACAGTGAGAAACACAAATATGAAATACATTAGAGTCTTCCTCCTCCTCCTCCTCCTAATAATAATAACTGGGAAAAAAATCACAAAATATCGTGACCTGGCCATCAAAACTACACAGCTATGGATGAAGGATGTAACAGTGATACCCGTTGTCATCGGGATACTTGGTACCATGCCCAAGAATTTTACAAAATACATCAAGAAATTGCAGCTTCCTGCAATAACACGAGCAGAATTGCAAAAAAACTGCACTACTAAGAACATCATATATTTTAAGAAGATACTTGGTTGATACCTAAGACGCTGGCAGCAACCCATACCAACCATTAGCACCTGTCAATGGTATTTGTGACACATCTTTAAATGTTCAGTTGACTGACTTTCATGTTTAATGAATAAAAGAAAACAACAACAACAACAACAACAACAACAACAACAACAACAACAGTTTTGGTTGAAAGCAAGGAAGTGTTTTAATTCTCTTTTTATTCAGGAAGGGTGACCACAGCGGATCAAGAAAGACAAGATGGTGGCCATACTTGCATGATCAAAACCCTACCCTAGGCGATGGAATGTTTTCCAGATTCTCAGGAGGGAAGGGTGAATTCCAGAGGAGCAAGTGGCAACATGGCAATAGCAATAACACTTAGACTTAAATACCACTTCACGGTACTTTGCAACATTCTCTAAGCAGTTTACAGAGTCAGCGTCTTGCCCATAACAACCTGGCTCCTCATTTTACTGACCTTGGAAGGATGAAAGGCTGAGTCAACCTTGAGCCCGTCAGGATCGAACTCTTAGCAGTGGGAAGAGTGACCCTGCAATCTTGCATTCTAACCACTGTGCTACCACGGCTCTAGTTTAGATCGTTTGTGTGAGAGAAAGAAGGTAAATATGGCTACTCCCTAATAGTTCACAGAATATATGCTTCATGGTGCAAGTAATCTGCTTGAGTTTGGCAGGACAGGCGAGAAACTATAATCTATGAGCCGTGATGGAGCAGTAGTTAGAATGCAGTACTGCAGGCTACTTCTGCTGCCTGCTGCCTGCTGCCTACCAACAGTTCAGCAGTTCGAATCTCACTGGCTCAAGGTTGACTCAGCCTCCCACCCTTCTGAATTCAGTAAAATGAGGACCCAGATTGTTGGGGGCAATATGCTGACTCTGTAAACTGCTTAGAGAGGGCTGTAAAGCACTGCAAAATGGTATATAAGTCTAAGTGCTATTGCTATTGCTATAGAGGAAATTGCTTAAAAGAATCCCAGTGTCTCTTGGTTTTTGGAAACTGACACCTGTCTATATGAAAACATGAAAAACATGGGGCTTTAGTTCATAGTTGTAGCCATAATCTGGATCCTTGACCTCTTTGCAGAAACTTCTGGGTGAGTACAAAGTGAAGGAGATTTGGATTGGCATTTCCTCACCTCAACGAAATGGAATGGATAACAATACGTTAAAGCTTTATAAAAATCTGAACATTAGAACGAAGGAAAAAATACTTTTCTTTGCCAGGATGTTTTGGGGCATCTCAAATCTTAGTTTTAATGGTGAAAGTGACCAGATGCTCAATCAGATTAACTGATTACATCCTGAATGTATGATAATTTGATAACCTCATTTTTCTTTCTCCCTTTTGTTTGATTTGGAGAAGATAGCCCACTGAAGATCCACAGAACAGAAACTTTTCCCACCTATCGGTCAGAACATTGATAAAATGGAGCCAAGGACTTTAACAAGCTCTGTGTGTTCATGTATTGAGATGGACTGATCCAACACCAAGGCTTGCAACTCAACTGGACAACAATAATGAAGGAGATGAAAGGAGAAAAGACTGGATTATAACTGCTAGATTATTTCTTAATTTTCAGGAGAAGAGGAGGCTGGCTTGAAAATTATCATTTGTAATTTGCAATGTTTCATAATCCCATCTGGAACAAAGAAACTTTCTTTCAATATGGGCTTCATATATAGTTAACCTCTGCTGTTGATTTGTCCTTTGCTATCAGTTGTTCAACATTTAGTTCATCCATTTCGGTGATTTCTTGAATAATGTAGTTTACGGTTTTATTTTTTGTTTCAACACTGACTGTATCACTTTTCCACTTTTAGGACTGGTTGCTTATTTTTAGGAACTGGAACCAGTTGCCTCCCTCTCTATTAAAGTCTGGTTTTGTCTCAGCTAAGCTATCTAAAGATAATTCTTGTGTCTCTATCTTTAATTCATGTTCAAGTGCTTAAATATGTATCTTAGAACTTTAGAAATAAAATGGCCTTTCCCATATTGTTAGAAAGATTACACATGTGACTTTTCTGAGCTATTCAAGAAGAGCAATAATGCCCAGGATTCTGTAGGTAATACTACTACTCTATTTTGCACAAATGATGCTTCCTTTTAAGCCCCATGTTAATGTTATGCATTGAGAAGATTTCAGATTGTATGAATGGTTCAGTGCCTATTCAGAATACAGAGCAGAGCTTTTAAATATTTGCTAGTTCGTGATATGACAGCATGTTAATAACAGGTAGTCCTTAATTTACAGTCATTCATTTAGCAACCATTCAAAATTACAATGGCACTGGGGGAAAAAGTGGCTTATAACCAGTTCTTAACTTATGACCACTGCAGCATCCTCATGGTCATTTGATCAAAATTCAGAGGATTGGCAACCAACATGTATTTACAACAATTATAGCATCCTCAGGCCATTTGTGACCTTCTCATCCAGCTTCCAACAAACAGAGTCAATGGAGGAAGCCAGATTTGCTTCAAGATCATGAGTCACTTAATAACTATAACTTACTTAACAATTCCCTTGTTTAGCAATGGAAATTCTGTTTCCAATTGTGGCCATTAGTGGAGGGCTGTGACACAAAAAGGATATCAAAGCTTATGACCTCAACTATTAGAGTTAAAATGATTTAGGTTATTCTGCCCAGGGCAGAAATCCTAGACAGATATTCCAAAATAATTCCAAATAATGAAATGGAACAGAACAGAACAGAACAGAATAGAATAGAATAGAATAGAATAGAATAGAATAGAATTCTTTATTGGCCAAGTGTGATGGGACACTCAAGGAATTTATCTTTGGTGCATATGCTCTCAGTGTACGTAAAAAGACAAGATATATTCATCAAGAATCATAAGGTAAAACACTTAATGATAGTCATAGGGTATAAATAAGCAATCAAATCATACTAGGAAGCAATCAATATAAATCGTAAGGATACAAGTGAGAAAGGTACAGTCCTGCAGTCATGGGAGGAGATGGGTAATAGGACGAGAAGATTAATAGTAATAGTAATGCAGACTTAATAAATAGTTTGATAGTGTTGAGGGAATTATTTGTTTAGCAGAGTGATGGCATTCGGGAAAAAAACTGTTCTTGTGTCTACTTGTTCTGGTGTGCAGTGCTCTATAGCGTCATTTTGAGGGTAGGAGTTGTCCAACCAATAAATGGCTGTCCAACCTTTGAAAATCTCTAGTGATGGAGATTACCATCTGCAATTTCAGGAAGAACCTGTCCTGCTGTTTAGTAGCAATCAGAAAATTCACCCTTGTTTTTAAGTTCACTTCTTTAAGCTAAATATACCTAAACATAACCAGATACTTTGGATTTAGCATGGTTATATGCACCTAAGCTTCTGAGAAACAAAACACATTTATCATATTTAGTGAATAAAATAGGAAGGTGAAAATGAATGGATAATGTTTGGTAACCTGGAGCTGAAGATAACTTAGATAAATGTTTGGGTTCACAGTGGGAAGATACATATTACAAGATTGTCAGAATTTTTCATACAGTGCAATTTTTTCTGGGTTTGTATACATTTCTTTTACAAATGGCTTAATGTCCTCATTACTTTGTAATAGTTTTGGCACAAAACTAAAGGAATCATCCTACTGACTTATATATCGCTTCACAGTGCTTTACAGCAGTGATGAGTTTCCTCTTTTTTAAAATACCAGTTTGCTCGTGTGCATGCGCAGAAGTGGCCGGGCGGGTCGGCAAAGCCTCCTACCGCTGCCACTAATAGTTCACTTGATCCGGGCCAAACCGGAGCAACCCACCTTTGCTTCACAGCTCTCTCTAAGCAGGTTATAGAATTAGCATATTGCCCCCAACAATCTGGTGCCCCCCAACCCACCTCTGCTTCACAGCTCTCCCTAAGTGGGTTATAGAATCAGCATATTGCCCCCACACTTTACTGACCTTGGAAATATAGAAAGCTGTGTCAATCTTGAGCCTGTCAGGATCAAACTTCAGGCTGTTGGCAGAGTTTGTCTGCAATACTGCATTCTAACCACTGCACCACAATTTCTAGTAGACAAATGAGACTTGGGGTTACATAAAAATTGGTCCAAGAACTACACTCAAGTCTCAGGTTGTTCCCACCTCCTCCAACAAGATATGCAATGTGCAGATATTTTAAATAGAAACCCCTTTTCCCCTTCCCCCTCATTATATATGAGACAGAATCATCCTACGGTTGGCAGAATTCATTTAATACCCTCCATCCAAGAACCAAATGAAATTTTCACAATCACTTGTGTTTGTGTGTGTATGTGTGTGCATTTGACTTTGAAATAAAATCCCCCAACTTTTTTCAAAAGTTTCTATCTATATACTTGAGCCTTTCTAGGTGTCATATTTTTTGGAGTATACGACGCACCAGAGTATAAGACATACCAAGATTTTGAAGAGGCAAACAAACAAAAAAAAAAGTTATGCACTCTGCAGACCTCCCCAAAACAGCCAGTTTTTCATGAGAATGGGCCATTTTTTGTCAAAAAAGGGCATGCATACCTTTAGGAGTCTTGTAGAGTGCTCCTGGGGACTGGGGGCAGGGACTGAGGTGTGGTGGGGGTGGCAAAAATGGCTTTTTTGTCAAAAAAGGGCATGCATAGCTTTTAGGAGGCTTCTGAGGGCTGCGGGGCAAAAATTGCCCCATTTTTCGATCATTTCTGCCCTCCCCAGCCCCCACAAGCACTCTGGAAGCCTCCTAAAGGCTATGCACGGCCATTTTGGTGAAGGGGCAGGGTTTCAGGCGGCCAGAAATGCTGTATTCTGTGTATAAGACGCACCCAGATTTTCAGCCTCTTTTTTGAAGGAAAAAGGTGCGTCTTATACACTGAAAAATACAGTATTTGTTCATGATTGCCAGCTTTTGTTTCAAATGTATTCTGACCTTGAAGGGTTTTCTCAACTGAAGAAGAAATAACATTGTGATCATCTTTCTCTGAAAAGCTTTTTTGCTGTGCTCTGCTTGACCAAAAGGTGTTGCCCTAACACTGTTGTTTGTGGTGTCTACATAAACTGAAGCAAGACCTCAGAAATACAGCACAATCATCATACCAGCAAAGAAAGGTTAAAATTCCTACGTTTTCCCAGATAAGACTCTAATGAAAAGCTACAGGCATCTGCTCCCAAACACCACTAACAGAGCATAGAAATATAACCAGGCATATCAGTCCTGTCAGCTCATCCTCACTCTGAGCTTGAGAACCTGACACTTAAAGATCAAGATACATTACTTGCAATCATACACCCACTTAGGCTGTGTAAAACCCATCCATTTGTTGGAATTACAGAGTGTGTCCACTCTCCCCGTTGTGAAGCCTCAGAAAGAATGCTGGGTTTTTATTTTCTTCATTGCTTAACTTTAGAACTGTTGATACATGAAGTGGTGGTGGTAGGGAGAAAGAGAGAGAGAAAGAGAGAGAGAGAGAGAGAGAGAGAGAGAGAGAGAGAGAGAGAGAAACTTATGCAGCCATTAATGAATCTTAAGGGCAAAAATGTTCAGGTGGGTTAAGTTACAAACTCGTATCTTGAGTGCAATTAAAGCCATTAAAAAAACAACTACTTAATTAGAATAGAATAGAATAGAATAGAATAGAATTATATTATTTGTATGCCGCCCTTCTCCGGGAGGACTCACGGCAGCGAACAATTCAAGGGGG